AGGAAAAAAAAAAAAAAAAAAAAAAGAAACAAAAACAGCAAATCTGCAGCAAAAAAAAAACTTTTCTTCTTTATTCCCTTCTCTGCTGCATGCAGTCTTCTTCAACTGAGGATCCCTTAGAAGGGGGCCCCCCTGCGGGGGGCCCCCTTTTAAGGGGGCCTCCGTACTGGGGGCCCCCTTCTACGGGGCCCCCAGTCTAAGAAGCCATTCCCTAAGGGAAAAAAGTAAGCGACTTCCGCTGTATGTTTTCTTCATTTGGGAGGGGCCCCCTAGGTGTGTTGGGGGCCCCAATGGGGGCCCCAATGGGGGCCCCCCTTAGGGCCCCCCCATGGGGTATCCCTGGGTACTGTATTTATAACTCTGATAGATTTACATTCAATGTCATTTCATCAAGTTGCTCAAAGACACGATCCAGCAGGTCCCCATCGGAGGCCCCTTGAGGGAGGGCCCCCTGGGGGGCCCCCCCTAGGGGGCCCCCAAGCGGGCCACCCTGTGGGGCCCCCTGAGGGGCCCCCAATGGACCTATTTGAGAACTCGTGTTGTCTCCAATTGACGGGGAGCGATTTGAAGGTTCCGTAGTACTCTCAGGTCCCCAGAAGGGTGCTGCTGCTGCTGCAGCTGCTGTTGCTGCTGCTGCTGCTGTTGCTGCTGCTACTGTAGCAGTCTGGGGGCCCCCCACCATTTCTTTGTTTGTTATATCTTTGTTGGTACTAAATGTATGTGATTGTTGTTCTCTTTGCTGCTGCTGCTGTAAAGACCGCGGGCTTTGTCTTGCTGCTGTCATAGAAGGAGCAGCAGCAGCAGCACCAGCACCAGCAGCAGCAGGGTTTAGGGGGGCCCCCCTATCTCTAGGGGTCCCAAGGGAGAAGCGTCGGCCATCTAATACTTCGTCACCTCCACCTGGCCATGCATGCTGCTGCTGCTGCTGTTGCTGTTGCTGCTGCTGTTTCTTCTGGGTGTCGTCTGTGTCTCCAGGCCACATGGGCCCTGATGTTTGCCGCTGCTGCTGCTGCTGCTGCTGCTGCTGCTGCTGCTGCTCAGGGAAGGGTTTAATAAGACTATTAAGGGACATTGTCCCCTTATTACTTGTGTCTCTTCCCTTTCCTTCTTCCCTTGCTGCTGCACCTTCCCCATCAGGCCAAGCAGCAGCAGCAGCAGGTGGTGCAGCAGCAGGTGGTGCTGCTGCTGCTGCTGCAGCAGCAACAGGGTGGCGAGGAGATATGGCCCTTGAGTTGCTGCCAGCAGGAGACACACAACTGCTTCCTGTCTTAGCAGACACACCACTGAAGGGACTGCATGCAGCAAAAGAAGGGACAGGTCGTTCCTGCTGCTGCTGCTGCTGCTGCTGCTGCTCCGGCCAGGGCTGCCCACTGCCGTTAAGTAAACTTGAGGCGGGCCCCCGTGCTGCAGCAGCAGTAAAGGGTGCCGCCTGTTCGCTTGCTTGCTGCTGCTGCTGCTGCTGCTGCTGCTGCATTTGCTGTTGCTGCTGCTCTTGTTGCTGCCGTCGCTGTTCTTCCTGCTGCTGCCGTCTCTGTTGCTCCTCCTGCTGCTGCTGCAGCTGCTGCGGTGTGGGGCCACAGTCAGCAAAAGGGTCCTCCTCTAAGGAGCGAGGTGCTGGGGGCCCCATGAGGGCAAGCCGATTCCCGTAAAGGGGGAAGGCCCCCCAGGGGGCCCCTGGGGGACTGAGGGGGGCCCCCTGCTGCTGCTGCTGCTGCTGTTGCTGCTGCTGCTGCTGCTGCTGCTGCATGGGGGCCCCCTGTTGAGGGGAAGCAGCAACAAAGTCTCCAAAGGAACTGTTGGCTTGCCAAGGTGTGCCTATTGAGCTTGATGATGATGGGGAAAAGTTCCACCCCATGGGGGCCCCTGCTGCTGCTGCTGCTGCTGGTACTGGTACCGCTGCTGCTGTTGTAGGTGCTTGTGCTGCTGCTGCTGGTGCTTGTGTTGCTGCTGCTGCTGCTGCTGTTGGGGCCCCTGGATAAGGAAGACCCCCGCTATGGCGAGGAGACAGCAGCTGTCCCCCCATAGCCATAACAGGAGAGGTAGAGGTCCCTGTCTGCATGTTGGCCCATGCAGGGGTGCTGCTGCTGCTACTGCTGCTGCTGCTGCTGCTGCTGCTGCTGCTGCTGCTGCAGGGGTTCTCTGGTTGTACCTTAGGGGGAGAAGGAGAATCACCAGAGACAGAAGAAAGAGACAAATTACCACCAGGAGACAAACCGCTAAATGCTGCCCATGGATCATCAGCAGGTACAGCAGCAGCAGCAGCAGCAGGAGCAGGTGCTGCTGCTGCTGCTGCTGCAGGAGGAGGAGGAGGCGCTGGGAGTAATGTTGCTGCGGTTGCTGCTGTTGTTGTTGCTGCTGCTGCTGTTGCTGCTGGTTGGAAGTTAGGAGGAGGAGGAAGAAGAGGTGTGGGGCCCCCAAAGTATTGAGGAGGAGTATGGGTATTAGTACTTTGTTTGGGGGCCCCCCCAAGGGGCCCCCCAAGCATATGTATTGGGGGCCCCATAAGGGTCTGCGTAGGGGGCCCCCCAATGGTTTGTGTAGGGGCCCCAGGGGCCCCCTGATTATCTGTGTCTCCTAATGTAAGATCAAGAAGAGAGATAGGTTCTTGCTGTTGCTTCTGTGTCCCCCTGCCTGCTGCTGCTCCTGCTGCACCTGCTGCACCTGCTGCACCTGCTGCAGCAGGAGCAGCAGCAGGAGCAGCAGGAGCAGCAGGAGCAGCAGGAGGTAAGGGTTTAGGCTCCCCTTTTGCTAATATTTTATCTACATCTGCAGCTAGATCAAGACCTGCAGATAAGGAAGAAATATTATTATTTATATCCTTATCTGTATAAGAAAGGGACTGTAAATATACAGATAGGGGGCCCCTAGATCTACGTAAATATATATATGCATGCATGCGGTCCTCATGGGGGGCCCCTGTACACCCCAATACTGCTAAAGAACGACGAATGTTGCTAACCTATACACACAAAAAAAATATATATTTATTTATTTATTTTATTTATTTTTTATTTATTTTATTTATTTATTTTATTTATTTATTTTATTTATTTATTTATTAAGGGTAATTATATATATTAATTAATAAGGAAAGGGTAAGGACACAGGTACAAAAAAGGAGACAAAAAAGGAGACAAAAAAGGAGACAAAAAAAAGGAGACAAAAAAGGAGACAAAAAAGGGGACAAAAAAGGAGACAAAAAGGAGACAAAAAAGGAGACAAAAAAGGAGACAAAAAAGGAGACAAAAAAGGAGAAAAAAAAAGGAGGGGACTAACCAATTGCTCAACAGGAATATTCTCCCTTTGTGTCCCCTTTTGTCTATTTATTTGTCCCCCTGTATAACGAGAGGAAGTAGCAGCAGCAGCAGCAGCAGCAGCAGCAGCAGCAGCAGAGGAGGAAGAAGAGGAAGAAGAAAGGGGAGGAGGAGGGGCAACGTCAAAGGCAGGAGACTCCTATAAAGGGAGAAAAAAGGAGACAAAAAAGGAGACAAAAAAGAAATAAAAAAAAGGAAGAAAAAGGAGACACGAGGAGACAAAAGGAGACACACAATAAGGAAAACAATCTATACCCTAAACCCTAAACCCTAAACCCTAAAATGGCAAGCACACACAAACCCTAGGGTTTAGCAGCAAGAAGACCTAAACCCTAGGGTTTAGGGTTTAGGGTTTAGGGTTTAAGACTTGCCTCTGCATTCTTCACAAGGAATTTCTGCGATCGATCGACTTGAGGGAACTCCACACCTGAGGGCACCGCCAAACCCTAAACCCTAAACCCTAAACCCTAAACCCTAGGCAGTTCCAAGGCAGCAACAACATTCTACTCTATAAACCCTCCTCTACTCCAGCGTAAACCCTAAACCCTAAACCCTCACCCTTGCTCCTTAGCTTGCGGTACATGGCAAAGATGGCGGGGCATCTGTCCTGGTGTAGGACGAAAGAATCTGTATAAAAAAGACACCACAAACCCTAAACCCTAAACCCTAAACCCTTAACCCTAGACTGTAAACCCTAAACCCTAATTTAATTACACGCAAAAGGGTTTGCAGCACTCACCATGCCATAGTTGGAACATAAATAAGACCTTCCTTTTCAATTTCTGCATGCAGACAGACAAACCTCCAAACCCTAAACCCTAAACCCTAAACCCTAAATGCAAAACCCTAAACCCTAAACCCTCAAGGTTTTAAGCGTATGGGCTTACATGGATTCGCGGGTCTGTTGCGACGCCAGGATGGACGAAGGGCCTGCATGCATAGGTCACGCATCCAAACCCTAAACCCTAAACCCTCCTGTCCCAAACCCTAAACCCTAATGAAGCTTCGCCATTGACCTCAAGAAATAATCATCCATATGACGAGCAAAATCAATGCCGTTATTCTTTACGCATATCTCCACCAACTGCACACCACACCAAACCCTAAACCCTAAACCCTAAACCCTAAACCCTAAACCCTCAAAATATGGGTGTGCTACTCATTCCCTCTGTCTGCCAACCTGCAATCCCCAAGAACCTAGTAATGACTTCCGCTTTCCATCTAAAGCCTCCTCTCCAAACCCTAAACCCTAAACCCTAAACCCTCTACTCCCAAACCCTAAACCCTAAACCCTAAACCCTACCTCTAGAGCTCTATACATTCCCTCTGGATCAGTTCCTTGTCTTAATTTACTCGCTGCTTCTTGCAGGAGATAACGCGAATTATCCCGACTAGATGCGCATGCATCTACGCATAACATAGCTAAGGACATATTTAATTCTAAGGAACCTCCATGGTACTCAAGACAAGACCCTAGGGCCTCCGAGAAGGTAGGGGGGCCCCCAGGGGGATACACCATCCTTTAAGGAAAAAAAAAAAACCCTAAACCCTAAATCCTAAACCCTAGAAAACCCTAAACCCTAAAATATATGATAAGAAGGGGAAGATATATTCCCCCTATGCAATTGAAGGGAGTATGCACCCAAGGAAAGGAGGAAAGAATATACAGATATACTCTATATATAT